ACCTTAGGTCATCTCCCCGCCTCGGCCTCCCAAAGTGCTGGGATTACAGGCGTGAGCCACTGTGCCTGGCCTAGTTAGTGTACTTTTATTTATTTTTATTTTTTTATTTTTTTTTTGAGACGGAGTTTCACTCATGTTACCCAGGCTGGAGTGCAATGGCGCGATCTCGGCTCACCGCAACCTCCACCTCCTGGGTTCAGGCAATTCTCCTGCCTCAGCCTCCCGAGTAGCTGGGACTACAGGCACGCACCACCACGCCCAGCTAATTTTTGTATTTTTAGTAGAGACGGGGTTTCACCATGTTGACCAGGATGGTCTCTATCTCTTGACCTCGTGATCCACCCGCCTCGGCCTCCCAAAGTGCTGGGATTACAGGCTTGAGCCACCGCGCCCGGCCTAGTGTACTTTTATTTTACACTTTTTTTTTTTTTGAGACAGAGTCTTGCTGTGTTGCCCAGGCTGGAGCGCAGTGGGGCAGTCTAGGCTCACTGCAACCTCTACCTCTCGGGTTCAAGCAATTCTCCTGCCTCAGCCTCCCGAGTACCTGGGACTGCAGGCGCGTGCCACCACACCAGGCTAATTTTTAAAATATTTTTAGTAGAGATGAGGTTTTACTGTGTTGGCCAGGCTAGTCTCAAACCCCTGACCTCATGATCTACCCGCCTCAGCCTCCCAAAGTGCTGGGATTACAGGCATGAGCCACCGCACCCAGCTATTATATACTTCTGAATAGCAGTGAGCAGAATCTACTCTCTAGCTCTATCAAAGCACTTATGTGTAGTGAAACTACATTGTATTTATTAAAATAAGGTGATTGCCACCTGAAATTTACCAGCTATTATCCTTCAAATGGCATGCTATTTTAGAAAATAATTATTATGACATGTTCATAACTAGAATCATAAAAATATTCTGGCAGATTCTAAGAGGTCAGCATTCTACTCTTTGATGAAAACTAAGAAATAATCTAAAATTTAAGGCAAAGTAATGTGACTGACATTTTTATAATACCCCTACATGCATGGTATATCACTACAGTATTTCTTTCTTAAAACAGTAATAGGCTCCTAAATATCCTTGACCAGCAGGGCATGTTCAATAGTGGCTCACGCATGTAATGCCAGCACTTTGGGAGGCCAAGACAGGCAGATCACCTGAGGTTGGGAGTTTGAGACCAGCCTGACCAACGTGGTGGAAACCCCATCTCTACTAAAAAAATACCAAATTAGCTGTGCGTGGTGGTACATGCCGGTAATTCCAGCTACTCAGGAGGCTGAGACAGGAGAATCACTTGAACCCGGGAGGCAAAGGTTGTGGTGAGCCGAGATTACACCATTGTACTCCAGCCTGGACTACGAGAGCGAAACTTCGTCTCAAAAAAAAAAATTTGTTTATGTATTTATTTGCTCCACAAGTATTTTTTGGCCACTTCCCATGGGCCAGCTACCATTCTAGACACTGGGGACAGTGTTGTGAATAAAATGTGCTTCTTTCACTTACCACCCTTAGAGTGTAGTAGTGACCACAGAAACAAAAACTAAATGAGAAATTGCAAGCTGTGGCATATGTTATGAAGGAACAGATAGACCATAGTCAACAGAGAATCATCCTAATTATAAAATCATAACTGATCATTGGCTGGGCGTGGTGGCTCACACCTGTAATCCCAGCACTTTGGGAGGTTGAGGCAGGTGGATTTCCTGAGGTCAGGAGTTAAAAACCAGCCTAACCAACTTGGTGAAACCCCATCTCTACTAAAAATACCAAAAAAAATTAGCTGGTTGTGGTGGTGGGGGCCTGTAATCCCAGCTACTCGGGAGTCTGGAGCAGGAGAATTGCTTGAACCTGGAAGGCGGAGGTTGCTGTGAGCTGAGATTGTGTCACTGTACCCTAGCCTGGGCGACAGAGCAAGACTCTGTCTCAAAAAAAAAAAATTATAATTGATCATTTTAATGGGAATCTGTTCCATTTTCATACCTTGATATTTCATACTGACATACAGTTCTATTATAATTTTGAAAAGAGCCGATAGTAGGTCAAATTGTGTATATACATTTATTTATGCAACAAATAAATTATGATGTTTGTGTGCCAGGTACTGTAGACCCAAGAGAGGGCACAGTGAACAAAACAAAGTCATTGTGTTCATGGTGATTTCACCCTAGTGGGAAGTCAGTAAGCAAATATATGATCAATGTCAGGAATTAATAAATGACAAGAAAAACAAAGCAGATTAAGAGGATAGAGAGTGACCAGAATGCTGTTTTATTTGAGTGGGCTGGGAAGGAGTCTCCGAGCAGATAAAAGTTTCCATAGCTTTCCTTCTTTTGTCTCTTGAGTCAGTTCAGCTAATGAATGCAGATGCAAGAGAATTTTTGTATCTGTTGGCATCACTCACATATTCATTGAGAGCTATGATGATGTCCTACTTCTTAGGAAGATTTACTACTTAGGAAGATTAACACCTGAATTCTTCTCTTCATTCTTTTATCGCTCTTCCATGTACCTAAGTGCCTAAGCACCTTCATCCATCCATCCCTTATATATATATATTTTTTTTTTCTTGAGTCAAAGTCTGGCTCTGTCACCCAGGCTGGAGTGCAGTGGCACAATCTCAGCTCACTGCCACCTTTGCCTCCCAGGTTCAACCAATTCTCTTGCCTCAGCCTTTCGAGTAGCTGGGACAATAGGTGCATGCCACCACACCCAGCTAATTTTTTTTTTTTTTTTTTTTTTGTATTTTTAGTAGAGGCAGGGTTTCGCCATGTTGGTCAGGCTGATCCTGAACTCCTGACTTCAGGTGATCCACCCACCTCAGCCTCTCAAGCTGCCTGGATTACAAGTATGAGCCACTGTGCCTGGTCATCCATCCCTCATCTTTCATCCAAAAATCATGATTTGGTATCTGTTCTGGTTTTCCAAAATCTTGTGATATGATTTACTTGATTAAAAAATATATTGTGCAGTAAAAGATCTTCCAGTGTTTGATTATAAAGTGGAATTGCTTCTGGAGAGAACTGTTATATCCAAGTGTTTTGGTGAACTCACAAGCCACTGAAATTTGATGTCTTGGGTGATCTTACAGTGATCCCAGCCTTAATGCCTAAAAGCCCTAAATAAAATTGTACACTTCTCAAGTGTTCTATAGCATTGCACAAGTCTAAAATAGGTAACTGGCACCTCCCTACACCTCATTGTTGGCTAACTGACTTGTCCCATAAATAGCTCAGTGTTACGTGATCAGACAACTACAACTAACAGAAGAGATTTTTGTTTCCTGACACACTTGTCCAGTCTCTGGTAGTAAACAAAATCCAAGTCCAAGTCACTGGCCCCTAACTGTAACCCAGTTCTTAGGGAAGAATTGTGCAAATCAGTAGCCAAATCCGGTGGGATGGAATTCAAGATAACCCTGCCTTATACCAAACTCTACATTATGGAAAATAGTGTTTGAGCAAGATTCATTATCAGTCCTTACAGTTACATGAAGTCTCTTCCCAGTCCACCCAAATGTTTCTGCCCTAATCTGGTTAATCCCAAAGAGCGTCTGCAGTTAAAAATTGTCAGGTGAGTTTGAGGGGGCATCATGGTAGTTTTATAAAGCTGTTTTTTTTTTTTTTTTTTTAAATCAAGAGCATGTTAAAAACAGAAACTACCAGCTATCAGAGCATAATGGTTCCTATTTCTCTTAGTTGGAATGTATTGTTTTTGTGTCAGAAATATTTGTAAATGCTGTAATATAACAGAACATTGCTTCATAAATTCCTTAGCTGTAACTAAGAAGGTAAACCTTGGGGCATTTCTCCAGATATATCTGGGCTCTTCGTGTGCAAAGCACTGCTGCTTAGGTAACTAGTGGTAATGCATCGGGCTCAATCCATGCTTTAGATATTTTTACTTTTCTTTTACTGGGCTTTTTCAAAATGGTGTATGTTTGTTGTATTTCTGAAGTCAAAATACCAAATCTAAAACAAGTGATTTTTTTTAAAAAAATCTCTTGACTGGGCACAATGGCTCACACCTGTCGTCCCGGTACTTTGGGAGGCTGAAGTGGATCACCTGAGATCAGGAGTTCCAGACCAGCCTGGCCAACATGGTGAAACCCCATCTTTACTAAAAATACAAAAATTAGCTGGGCCTGGTGGCAGGCACCTGTGATCCCAGCTACTTGGGAGGCTGAGGCAGTAGAATCGCTTAAACCTGGGAGGCAGAGGTTGCAGTGAGCTGAGATCGTGTCACTGCGCTCCAGCCAGGGTGACAGAGCAAGACTGTCTCAAAAAACAAGCAAACAAACAAAAAACTCTCTGCTAATTATTTATTGCTGTTGAAATGCTGCTTACCATAGCTGACAATTTTGAACAAAAGTAAAGAATATATCTACAATATCAAAGTTAGTAATTCTTTCCCTAATGCTCCTTTTGTAGTTTTGCTTATAAGAACTTAGTACAGTTCATAGTCAGAGCTTCATAAACCCAGTTGTGTATCTTTCCTTGGCCAGCCAAGTGTCTACATTTCAAAAACATTTTAAAGTTAAAATTCAGTTCAAGAGTACTGTCTTCAGTCTACCAAAAGGGCTAAAAACATTTACTTTGGCTTGGCATGGTGGCTCACACCTGTAATCCCAGCACTTTGGGAGGCCGAGGTGGGAAGATCACTTAAGGTCAGGAGTTCGGGACCAGCCTAGCCAACACAGCGAAACCCCGTCTCTACTAAAAATACAAAAATTAGCCGGGTGTGGTAGTGTGTGCCTGTAATCCCAGCTACTCAGCAAGCTGAGGCAGGAGAATCGCTTGAACCTAGGAGGCGGAGGTTGTAATGAGCCAAGATGGTGCCACTGCACTCCAGCCTGGGTGGCAGAGTGAGACTGTCTCAAAAATAATATTAATAATAATGACAAAATGAAAACATTTACTTTTATTAACGATGTGAATATTTACTCTGGTGGATGTAAGAGGAAAATAAAGAAAAAACACCCAAAGCACTGATTGTTTGTTCAACAGACTGTAAAGCATGGCTGTGTGGATACAAGCTCAGCAGCTCCAAGGAGAAGCCCTTCATCAGATGCAAGCGTTGTATGGCCAGCATTTTCCCATTGAGGTGCGGCATTATTTATCCCAGTGGATTGAAAGCCAAGCATGGTAGGTGAACAAGGATGTTTGCATCATATTTTGTGAAACACAAGACTATTGGAGTTGGGTTAGAAAGATGTCATGATGGCAACTTTCAAAGTATTTAAACATTTTTAAATGTGATCCATGAAAAGGTATTTTTTTTTTTTTTGAGACGGAGTTTCGCTTTTTGTTACCCAGGCTGGAGTGCAATGGCGCGATCTTGGCTTACCGCAACCTCCGCCTCCTGGGTTCAAGCAATTCTCCTGCCTCAACCTCCTGAGTAGCTGGACTACAGGCATGCACCACTATGCCCAGCTAATTTTTGTATTTTTAGTAGAGAGGGGGTTTCACCATGTTAACCAGGATGGTCTCGATCTCTTGACCTCAAGATCCACCCGTCTCGGCCTCCCAAAGTGCTGGGATTATAGGCGTGAGCCACCGTGCCCAGCTGAAAAGGTATTTTTAAAAGTTTTTCTTGGTGGGGGCTGTAAAAAAAAAAAAAAAGGAAAAAAAATTTTTTTTTCTTGTTATAGCTGAAAGGTATTTAAGCCCATCTTAGATTGAGGGAGATGGAATAACTCTTGGGATTTTTTAAAACAGGATTTGTTCCCTTTAATAGTAAACACTGGCTAAATGCATTAGACTATTACTGCTAATAAAGAGCAGCCAACAGGTATGTTTCGAGTGCCCATAGGGTGCTTAGCAGTGTCCTAAGTAGTAGAATTTGTATTAAAAAAATTAACGCCCTACTTTGTGCTGTAATCCCAACACTTTGGGAGCCCAGGAGTTCAAGGACAGCCTGGGCAACATAGCAAAACCCCGTCTCTGCACAAAACACAAAAATTAGCCAGGTGTGGTGGTGTGCTTGTACAGTCCCAGCTACTCGGGAGACTGAGGTGGGAGGGTTGCTTGATCCTGGGAGGCAGAGATTGCTGTAACCCATGATCACATCACTGCACTCCAGCCTGAGTAATAGAGCAAGACCCTGTCTGAAAACAAATAAACAAAATTAAAGCCCTCATCTCCAGATAATTCAGTGTTTCACTAGATGTGGTGGCACGCACCTGTAATTCCGGTTACTCAGGATGCTGAGGTGGGAGGATTGCTTGACTCCAGCAGTCTGAGGCCAGCCTAGGCAACATAGCGAGATCCTATATCAAAAAAAAAAAATATTTAATGTTTAATGGGGCAGGTAGGGTGGGAATATGCACATAATTTAATTATAATTTATTTCTTATCGTTTATTTTACTAAATGTAAATTATTTTACATTTCTTAATAAATTTACATCTAATAAAAAATTTAAAATGAGTAATTTGACAGTAGAGACATTGGTGTTTTAAATTTATATGTATTTTATGTATACACATAAAGACTAAAAGAAAATTGGCCAGGTATTGTGGTTCATGCCTGTAATCCCAGCACTTTGGGAGGCCGAGGCAGGTGGATCACTTGAGGCCAGGAGTTCTGAGATCAGCCTGGCCAACACGGTGAAATCCCGTCTCTACTGAAAATACAAAACATCACCTGCGCATCATCACGTGCACCTGTAATCCCAGCTAGTCTGGAGGCCAATGCACGAGAATCGCTTGACCTTGGGAGGCGGAGGTTGCAGTGAACCAAGATTGCACCACTGTACTCCAGTCTGGGCAACAAAGTGATAACACTAATTACATTCTGGTGGTAGATTAGACAAGCATTTTAATTTTTATTTTCCAGATTACTGATTACATACCTAGGGAAGGGGAGAGTTGTTTTAAATTTCTTTTAGAATTAGTACAGTGTAGTCGACTGACAACACAGGGTTTTTTTTTTTTGTTTTTTTTTTTTTGAGACGGAGTCTTGCTCTGTCGCCAAGCTGGAGTGCAGTGGTGCAATCTTGGCTCACTGCAACCTCTGCCTCCTGGGTTCAAGTGATTCTTCAGCCTCAGCCTCCCGAGTAACTGGGACCACAGGCGCGTACCATCATGCCTGGCTAATTTTTGAATTTTTAGTAGAGATGGGGGTTTCACCATGTTGGCCAGGATGGTCTTGATCTCTTGACCTCGTGATCTGCCCACCTCAGCCTCCCAAAGTGCTAGGATCACAGGCGTGAGCCACCGCGCCCGGCTGACAGCACAGGTTTTTAATTGGTATCATTATTACACACCCAGCAGCAGGATGTACCCTGCTCTGCTCAGGGTCTGGGAGCTTGCTAGTGGTTACAGTCTGTCAGTTGATGTGACATATTCATTAGATACTTCAAGCCTCACCGTCTTAACCAGGGGTCCTCTTTGACAGTCCCTGGGAGAAGCCAGCCTTGATGCTGTGATTTGCAGAGGACCATATACCTGTCTGTAATGTTGCCTTAGAATAATCGCACTGTGTGTTAGTAGCAAATTTCTGTTCAGAAACCAAAGATCACCAAAGAAAGGCAATTTTCTAGGCAATTAAAAAAAAAAATCTCAGCTTTGTCTAATTAAGTGAGGGAAAAAAATGAGCTAAATATGAGAATGTCAGCTGTACCTTGTTAGTGCTTTCCACTCCCTTTTCATTTTCTCTCCTGTTTTCATGATGTGGAGGATTTAGAAAAACATGAGTAGGAAGTTTCCATTAATTTCAGATTTCACTTAGCAGAGTTCCCATTTGGTCTTACTAAATGAATTAAAAGACTTGTGTTGATATTAAGGAAAATTTGAAATTTTTTTAGCTTTGGTTTTCTTCAGAATATAACTATTTTAATGAAGAATCTTCAATTCTTTATGTTTAACCCATCGAAGCAAGTCTCTCTTTTCAACAGAGAATTAAGGTTTCAAGTAAAGAACCAGTACCTGACTTCTATGAGTTTTGCTCAGAGACTGAATCCTCTAAAGAGTGGGTTCCTGGGGCCGGGTGCGGCGGCTCCCACCTGTAATCCCAGCACTTTGGGAAGCCAAGGCAGGTGGATCACGAGGTCAGCAGATCTAGACCAGCCAGATCTAGACTAACATGGGGAAACCTCATCTCTACTAAAAATATAAAAATTAGCTGGGTGTGGTAGCACCCACCTGTAGTCCCAGGTACTTGGGAGGCTGAGGCAGAAGAATTACTTCAACCCAGGAGGTGGAGGCTGCAGTGAGCCGAGATGGCACCACTGCACTCCAGCCTGGCAACAGAACGAGATTCTGTCTTTAAAAAAAAAAAAAAAAAAAAGACTGGGTTCTCGGCTGGGCACGGTGGCTCACACCAAGGTGGGTGGATTGCCTGAGCTTGGGAGTTCAAGACCAGCCTGGGCAACATGGTGAAACCCCATCTCTACTAAAAATACAAAAATTAGCTGGATGGGGTGGCACATGCCTGTAATTCCAGCTACTTGGGAGGCTGAGGCAGGAGAATCACTTGAACCCAGAAGACGGAGGTTACAATGAGCTGAGATCGTGCTACTGCACTCAAGCCTGAGCGACAGAGTGAGACTCTATTACAAAAACAACAACAACAAAAAAAAAAACAGTGAATTTCCAGACCAGGGGCATTGTTGCCAGTTGAAACAGAGGGGCAGGGCTGCCCTCATTCCTTCTGGCCTTTCATTTAATACATATTCTATTTAATACATAGAGCGCATATATTTAAAATTTGACTTGCGTTAACTGCCTTCTCAAGGTGTGGATTGGGGCATACTATTTGATAGAGTACGGTATCACTGTTTTTATATACCTGTTGGTGCCTGTCTTTGAAATTAGTTGGTATCTTCAGGGATTTAGGGATGTCAGAGCCTTATAGCTACAACGATCTTGTTTGGCTCCAGACCCAGTCAGCAGTTACCGAATGTTATTTCAGTCCAGCAGCTGTCTGGTTTCTTCAGTGACTAAGTAATTTGGTACTCCCAGTGTCGATGGTTGCCTAAGTTATAGAAAGAAAGAAAGGAAAAAGGAAAGAAAGAGAGAGAAAAAAAAAAATAAAGGGAGAAAGGGAGGAAGGGAGGGAGGGAGACCACCCGACTCCTGTCACCAGTTAAATAGCTCAAAATCAATCCAAAGTCTGCAGTGTAGTTTCCCCTATTTACTGGAAAAATAGGCATTTGCCTTCAGGTCCCGGGTCTGCAACTAGTGATATCAATGTCTGACTCATATAAATTCTTGTAGGAACCCACTGCCTGAATGTCTCATTTCCAGAGCTTCTTAGAAATAGAAATAACTTGTTTCACCCATCCCTACCTAAGAACCCCACAGACACCAAACTCCTTGAGGCTGGAAAGGACATGTAGAAGAGTCTTGACCTTGTGCCTCCTTTGCACCCATGAGGGGTAAATATAAATAGGAAATTATCCAAGTCCCTATTTCCCTCAGAGTACACAGAACACTTTCCTTTTCCCTGCATTTCCCGGAGCAAATAGCATAAGCACCAAGCACATCAGTGGGAGAAAGGAGAAACGGCAGTGTGTTGTTTAAAAAAAAAAAAAGAAATCTGCTGTATAATCCAACTATTTAGTGAATTACAAATAGATTAATGTAGGCATTGAGTCCATTTCGGTTGGGCTGTTTCTTAAAATTTGCAGGTGAGCTTTAAGAAGAAATCACTTAATTGAAGAAAAAGTGGGATGTGTTGAGGCTGCATTTATACAGGCTCATGTGCATGTATGTATACAGATTATGTAATTTTTTTCCCCTAGGGACTCAATAGATCTTGATAATCCACAGGAGAACATTAAGGCCACCCAACTCCTGGAGGGCCTGGTGCAAGAGCTGCAGAAGAAGGCAGAGCACCAGGTGGGGGAAGATGGGTTTTTACTGAAGATCAAGCTGGGGCACTACGCCACACAGCTCCAGGTGGGTGTGGGCTCCGGGGTCACACTTCATTATCTTCCCTCGGAGGTCTTCTTCCTGTAGAGACTGACTTTCTCTCCTTCAGCCCAGCATCGTTGAGTTACACGTTACATGCATAAGTTTCTTATTGTTTGGTTTTGGTCTGTTTTTTTGTTTGTTTGTTTTACTTTTTTTTTTTAATAAAATTTAATTTCTTAAATTATTATTTTTTTAAATAAAGACGAGGTTTCACTATATTGGTCAGGCTGGTCTTGAACTCCGGACCTCAGGTGATCCGCCCGCCTTGGCCTCCAAAGTGCCTGGATTACAGGCATGAGCCACCATGCCCGGCCTGTTTTACTTTTTATTTGAGAATAATTTCAAACTTCCAGAAAGTTACGAGAATCATACAAAGATTCCCCACCTATCCCCAGACTCACCTTTTGTTGACTTTTATGTGGTCTTATACTCCTCGCTGTCTCTGCACACAACACATTTTTTAGTCACTGGAGAGTAAGTTGCATACCTTGCGTCCCTGCACCACTGAGTACCTCTGTGCCTTTTCTTGTTCTTTTTATTTATTTATTTATATATTTTTGAGATGGAGCCTCTGTCGCCCTGGCTGGAATGCAGTGGCACAATCTCAGCTTACATGCAGTCTCTGCCTCCCGGGTTCAAGTGATTCTCCTGCCTCAGCCTCCTGAGTAGCTGGGATTACAGGAGCCCGCCACCACACCTGGCAATTTTTTTTTTTTTTTTTTTTTTTTTTTTTTTTTTTAGTAGAGATGGGGTTTTGCCACATTGGCCCCGATGGTCTTGAACTCCTGACCTCAGGTGATCTGCCCACCTTGGCCTCCGAAAGTGCTGGGATTACAGGCATGAGCCAGCTTGCCTGGCCCCTCTGTGCATTTTCTAAGAATGAACTTTGTCTTGCATGGTTATAACACACTGATCAACTTCAGTAAATTTAGCATTGATATAATACTTTTAGGTACTCTTCTGGATTGCCATTTTTATTTTTTGAAAAGCAGTTTTGCTCTTGTTGCGCAGGCTGGAGTGCAATGGCGCAATCTCTGCTCACCACAACCTCTGCCTCCTGGGTTCAAGTGATTCTCCTGCCTCAGCCTCCCGAGTAGCTGAGATTACAGGAGTGTGCTACCACACCCGACTAATTTTGTATTTTTAGTAGGGACGGGGTTTCTCCATGTTGGTCAGGCTGGTCTTGAATTCCTGACCTCAGGTGATCCATCTGCCTTGGCCTCCCAAAGTGCTGGGATTACAGGTGTAAGCCACCACGCCCAGCCTGGATTTCCATTTTGTCAACTAACTCAAACATGTCCTTAAGGGTATTTTTCCTCGCTGCAGTCCAGAATCCAGTCCAAGATCACATATTGCATCTAGTTGTCATGTCTCTTTAATCTCCTTTCATCTGGAACCATTTTGCAACCTTACTTTGTCTTTCATTACATTGACATTTTAAAATAATTCATGTAGCCTGGGCACAGTGGCTCACACCTGTAATACCAGCACTTTGGGAGGCCAAGGCAGGCAGATCACCTGAGATCAGGAGTTCAAGACCAGCCTGGCCAACATGGTGAAACCCCGTCTGTACTAAAAATACAGAATTAGCCGGGTATGGTGACATGCACCTGTAATCCCAGCTACTCGGGAGGCTGAGGCAGGAGAATTGCTTGAACCCAAGAGGCGGAGTTTGCAGTGAACCAAGACCATGCCATTGCACTCCAGCCTGGGCAACAGAGTGAGACTCTTGTCTCAAAAAGAAAATAATAATAATTCACGTACCCCCTACTTTTTAAAGATAAAACGTTCCTCATTCGGGGTTTGTCTGATGTTTCCTCATGATTATGTTCACATTGCACATCTCCAAGCAGACTTCTAAACATAGTTGGCTGTCCCATGTCCATGGGTTCTGCATCCTCCAATCCCACCAAAATATTTAGGAAAATAAAAAAAGTAACAGTACAACAATTTTTAAAATACAAATAAAAAAAGATATGACAGAACAGCTATTTACACAGTATTTCCTTTGTATTAGATAGTATAAGCGATCTGTATGTGGTTCACAGTGTACAGAGGATTGCGTGGGTTCTATGCAAACGATACCATTTTATATGAGGAACTTGATCATCTGCAGATTTTGGTATCCAAGAGGGTCCTGGAACCAGCCCCCACAGATACCAAGGAACAACTATAGGTGACATTGTATCCTTCTCAGGTATCATATCCAGAGGCAGGGAGTGTCCCACGTCCCCTCAGTGGTATTAGTTTTGATTGCCCAGTTGAGGTGGCGTCCAGTTCCTCCTCTGGTGAGGCTTTTTTTTTTTTTTTTTTTTTTTTTTTTTTGAGGTGGAATCTTGCTCTGTCACCCAGGCTGGAGTGTAATGGCATGATCTTGGCTCACCACAACCTCCATGTCCCGGGTTCAAGCAATTCTCCTGCGTCAGCCTCCCGAGTAGCTGGGACTACAGGCAGGCACCACCATGCCCAGCTAATTTTTGTATTTTTAGTAGAGACAGGGTTTCACCTTGCTAGCCAGGCTGGTTTTGAAATCTTGACCTCGTGATCCACCCACCTCAGCCTCCCAAAGTGCTGGGATTACAGGCGTGAGCTACCTCACCCAGCCCTGGTGAGGTTTTTAAAACTTACACATTCAATTTTTAAGAATGTTCCCCGAGTACTTTAGGCAAATTAAGATGCAAGAAGTAAAACAGCACTTTGAAAGGCCAAAGTAGGTGCATCACCTGAGGTCAGGAGTTCCAGACCAGTCTGGCCAACATGGTGAAACCCCATCTCTACTAAAATGACAAAAATTAGCCAGGCATGGTGTCAGGTGCCTGTAATCCCAGCTGCTTGGGAGGCTGAGGCAGGAAAATAGCTTATCGCTTGAACCTGGGAGACAGAGGTTGCAGTGAGCTGAGACGATACCATTATACTCCTGCCTGGGTGACAGAGCGAGACTGAGTATCAAAAAAAAAAAAAAAAAA